TCCTGAGATGAATTTTAGTTTTTTAGTAATATTAGATTTAAAACTTAGTATGTAAGTAATAAAACTATATAAAATAAATTAAGGAAAAGAAATCCGACTACAATCGGAAATCAATTCCTTAACCTTTTTGGGAAGTTATTTCATGCTTCTCACAATTAGTTTAGCAAAAAAAACTAATCTAATTGGGGAAATACAATAGTTAGGTTGCTAGCAGTTGAAAACTGCAAACTTATCTATTTTTGCCAAATAAGAGCAATAAGCGAGGGCTAAAACTCTCTGAGTAATACCCCAGTGAACCCCACTGTAAATCTAAACTCCCGCAAAAGAAATTTAGTAAGTGGAAGTAGACTGATACCGCCAAGTCCTAACTATTGATTTGCCAAATGATAAAAATATATAGGCGAAATATACCCATATTAATTATTTTAGTGATTAGAGATAGAAGAGTAGTCATTTTTTTCACTCAAAAATCCCTTTACTTATAAATAAGTAATAATAAATAACATAACTCTCTTTATCCCCTTTTTCTTTCTCTTATTTTTAATTCTCTTTTTCTTATAAGGTTCTATCCAAAGGTTAGTCTATATAGAAAGAGAAAGTATAAAGAGAAACCAAACCCAAGAAATTTAAAATACTATGAATAACACTAAATATCAAGAATTCTTACAAAAGAAAAAAAATCTAATCAAAGAAAATGAAGCACTAATCAAGGAACATGCTAATTTAGAAACAGTAATCGAAGCCCAAAGACGAAGAAATGAGATTGAAACTCGACAAAAAGATATTGCTGATGAGTTATTAAAAATTCATGTCGAATTCCTGCAAAATGATGAAGATGGTTCGCAAGGATAATGAAAGGACAACCCCAAGTAAATATTCTGAAGTATTTGATAAATCACGAATGAATTGTTAAAATGTAATTAAGAGAATTAAAAATAAAAATTATGAAAATAAAAATAGATTAAATAAAATAATAATAAAAATAAAAATAGAAATAAAATTTAATTTGGTTTGAAATTAAAGGATTTGGTCAAAATATCTTCATCATTGTTTGATTCTGGTAACATTATCACAAAATATATATTAATATTATCACATTTTTTAACTTTTGAATTTTCAAAAATAACAAATACAATGGTTTTTGCAAAAAATAAATAATAATAATATAAAAAAATAAAATAAAATAATAAATTTAATAATTATTTTTTGGAATTCTTAATTTCATTCAACAAAATTTGCATTTGAGTTAACAATTGATCATTATTATTATTTAATTTATTTTCCATTTCCTTGAGGTCATCTTTAAGATTTTTTTCAATTTCCTTCATATTATTTTCAAGAATATTTTCAATTTGTTGAAATCTTGAATCAAAATCATTTTCTGTTTTTTTAGACACTTCAACAAGTTTGTCTTCAATTTGTTGAAATCTTGAATCAAAATCATTTTCTGTTTTTTAGACACTTCAACAAGTTTGTCTTCAATTTGTTGAAATCTTGAATCAAAATCATTTTCTGTTTTTTTCAGATACTTCAACAAGTTTGTCTTCAATTTGTTGAAATTTTGAATCAAAATCATTTTCTGTTTTTTTAGTCACTTCAGCAAGTTCTCTAAGCTTATCAGAAATATATGGGAGATCTTCTTCATCCTCATTGCTATCATCTATTTCTTTAATTTTTTTATGAATATCATCAATTGGTGCATCATAGTATCTAACAAAAAAAAATTTTAAAAGGAATTTATCAAAATGATTTAATTGATTAAATGATTATTATTATATTTACAATATATCTGGAAACCAATTTCTCCAATGATGTTGATTAGGAAATAAAT